TAGATCTGCCCCTGTGTTTCCGAGACTGTCACTCTTTACAGGAGTAGAAAGTCGTCCCCTCCCCCCCCGCCCCCCCACTTTCTCCCAAGGAGCAACTAGTGGTTTCGAAATGCTGGCCTTATGGTTAGCAGACCAATGATTAAGCCACCAGGGCCATATGACAGGTAAACGGGCACTTAGGAGGGTCATTTAAACATACTGCTACTAATAAACTTGGGTTCACTCTTAACAATACCTGTCTAAACATGTCTCTCATCAGTACTTGGCTGCAGACAAGTTCTTTCAGTAATATGCTTGCCTTAGGGTACCATCTAGGAAAAAAATTAACAGTGGCTTCTACGGGAATCCCGAAGAGATAATATTGATAGATTTCCTCAAAGGACACAGGATCATCATCATAAGAGATTGATGTTTAGAAAAATTTCATTGGTTGGGAAAAGGCCAGGAAAGTAGCACAAGTAATTATTGCTCACCACAATGTACTTAGATGATCAGTAGCAAAGGTAGTCCTACGAGAATTTCACTGGGAAACCTTAGCCCTCTATCCTACAATCCTGGTATTGGCCCTTCAAATTTCATTTATTCCCCAAAGTCATACAACATTTCAAAAGAACACAATTTGAGACACCCTCTAGGATGCCAAAATTATTGTTCTGGTATAAACCCAAACTTGTAGAATTCTTTGGGGATGGGTTGAGGGAAGGAAACCACAACTCCAGAAAAGTACACAAGTAGGTGGAGGGTATGTCAACAAACATCTGGTGCACATTTTGAAATTCCTATAGTGTTTTCTGTGATTTTATAGCAATAATTTTGATTTACCCTCATATTTGTGATTGCCCATAAAGCCTGAAAAGGGAAAAACTTATGAGTAAAGGGCAGAGAATTTTATCCCAAGAAAAAGATGGTAGTCATAATGATAGAAACCCCCACCCCTTGACGTAAGCATATCAAAAGCTGAAGAAATGTGGAGTAGGACAATTTTTCATAAAGTCTTTTTAATGGAAAATGTAAAACCCCTTTCAACTTTAATGTACAAAGCCATTATGTAACACTTGCACTTTAACAAATAAAAGCAAGCCAATGCTTTAAAAAAATACATCATTAAATGTATATGTATATATTTACATAGCATATTAAGTTTAATATTTAGCTTTAAAAGTTCACATAAATTTACCAAAATGAGACAATTTTAAATAAATTACACCTTTTGAAAACGTTTTTAATTGTACAGTGAATAGCTTCAATAAAATATTGAAGTGTCTGTATTTTTATCTACTTAATATACTTTATATTTTACAAATTTTACAATTATTTGGCAGTAATTTTCTGCTTATGACATGACTGCTGTGCGATTCAGCAATTTCCCAAATGCAGGCAATAGCTGGTGTTTGTGTCCTACTCTCACAGTAACTGTCTCAATGTAGTGAAAAATATCACGTTATTTTAGCAAACTGTACAAGGTCACATTTACACTTGATCAACAATATAGCATAGAATTTTTGTTTTGTTTTTTTCCAAAAATAAATACATCATTTTAAATCTGGCATTTTCACAAACTTCATATACAGTATGATACAAAACAGCTGTCAAGGGCTGCTTTTTTCATTTTAGCTTGTTTTAATAACATTGAATCACAGGAGCTGTGACATATGCTATACTGTTGTGGTGTCAGTAACAAGTAATTACTACAAAGAGAATTTCTTGGCACTGATGGTTTCATGAAACTTAAGTCAGTGTGCATACATATCAGAGTTCAAGGAGAAGTAATCCCAGTTCAACAGGCTAAACCCCCCAAATTGGACCACAGTTAGTTTTCTTCCATATCCTCTATTTCACTTTCATGTATCTTCAAAGCTCTCACCATTTCTTTGACTGCGTGATACAAAATATTTTTTACCTGAAAGACATGTTGGTTTTAAATAATTTTATAGTTGGAAACACACGAGCAAATGAAAATTGGGTTTAAAGTAAAACTAAATACAATTTAATAGACTATGGAGAGTCTAATCTAAAGGAAAAAATGTCACTAAGTCAAACATTTTAAAGACCACTAATAAAAGCCATACAATTACATACATGTTGCCACACTTTGGTTGTGACAAACCAACCCCTGAGCTGTGATAAACCTGTATTCAGGTAGAAGAGGCATGCAGAACACAATCTAATTAGAAAATTCATTTCTTACCTGTAATTTATCATCATAATTGATTTCTTCCTTTAAAAGTCTCAGTTCCTGTGTTAAGTGAAATGAATGTACAAGATGCTCTGGAGACACAAAATCCTCCGTTATCTGAATACAGCTGTGAAAATTCTGTACCTGTGACCAAAAGACAAATTGTCGGTGAAGTAGACATTTTAGGAGGGTAAGCATCCTTGTGGAAAACGAACAATACTATTACTTATCTTCTCCAAAAACTGAACCAAATTTCACATTATAACACCATACTTTACAATAAAGTTACACCTCTGAAAATCTCCATGTACAATGATTTTGCAAATAGAATATTTTATAAATATATACTTTAGTGTGGCAAGTTACATTTCAAAAGCCATGTTAGCCAATGATAAATACACAATTCCATGGCATTATATTTCTAATTTTTTCATCGTAACCAGCAGGAACTATATCCTCGAAGCATTAACTCCCAATACCCTAGTCTTCTCTCCTCCAGTCCCTGGTGGCTTCCCCTCTACTTTCTGTCCCTGTATTTGATTATTTCCTAGATATTTCATACAAGTGTGATGATGTATTTGTCATTTTTTATCTGGTTATTTTACTCTGTTCCTGCCTCTTGCACATAATTTATCAGAATTGCATTCCTACTGGTGGCTGAATAATATTTTGGGAGTGGAATTTGACTACAAAGAGGCTTGAATTTCTAAGCAGTGATGAAATATTCTAGTTTAACTGTTACATAACTATATATTTGACAAAATTTTTTCAAAGGTTGAATTTCACTGTATGTAAATCACATTTTGAAAAGGAGGGGACAAAAAGACTACACCATGTGGTTTAACTGTAAGAAAATAAGACACTAGCAAAAATGCATATGCAAATAACTATTTTCAACAATGGATGCTTTGTATTATCAAAGGAAAGCTTCTCAGTGAGTATAAAAAATTAAGCACTTAACTATTAGTTGTAAGTTTTCATATCAAACCCACTAAGAGCCCTAGTGGCATAGTAGCATGTTGGGCTGTTTACAAAGTCGGTGGTTTGAACTTATCAGCCACTCTGGGGAGAATATGTCATTCTGTTCCCATGAAGCTGCACAGCAGCCTCAGGAAAACCTAGGGAGCAGTTTCTACTCTGCATTATAATGTTGCTTTGAGTTGCGATTAACTTGAAGGCAGTGGGTTTTTCTTTTTTTTAAAAAAAGACGCCTGGGAAAACAGGCTTGTTGATCTACTTCAGGAAGGTCATAGTGTTGAGAAAGTATTGTAGCAAGCACGCATGTTACTGACTCAATGAAAACCAACATCATCATCCATATATATAAAAAGACTTTCTACACTATTCCATTACATTGGATGTTCCTTTGAAGGCATGTATTCAATTTAATGTTAATAAGCTTTTTTCCCCTACAGGATATAATCGGACCAAAATATGTACATAGTTATATTTTCTATTATTACTTATTTATTTTACTGTTAATGCCACTTGTGATCTACGAATGGCAAATCTGATCCTGGACTTAACATCTTAAAGATTAGTAAGTAGCTGTTTATCATTTAAGGAATATTTTCTGCAAATAACCCTACAAACCAAACAGGCAGCGATGGCATAGTATATAAAGCCTGGGGCAAAGCGTGAACTACCAGTCTCAGTCCTCCCCTCCCCCTTTATGCTTGCTTCACAATCGAGAATGATTTCATACTAACTCCGTTTCTCCTACGAGAGGTTTTAAAAATGAGATTTTTGGGGAACTGATTGCAACGACTGACACATAACCACACTGCCTCCAGGGGTACGAACCACGGAAATTGTGGGGGAAGGGAGGCAGCGATACTGTAAAATATGAAATAATAATAACTTATCATTTATCCTGGGGTCACGGGGTGTGGGTGGGGAGAGGAACTGATACAAAGGGCTCAATAGAAAGTAAATATATAGGAAATAAGGATGGCAACACATGTACAAATATGCTTGACACAATTGATGTATGGATTGTTACAAGAGCTGTCAGAGCACCCAATACAATGATCTTTCACTTAAAAACAAAAGTAATGGAAAATTAGATTTTAAGCCATTCCATTGGAGAAAAACTGGATATCTGACTTGTAATAAAACAATTTAAGCTCTTTACATACAAATTTAATAATGCCAGAGATCTCTTTAAGCGATAGAAAGGCATTATGATACTTTCTTGATAAAAGGGTGCAGGTCATTCTCTACTTCTACCTTTAAGTTATTTCCATATGTAGAAAAATATCCTTTCCGTCCCGGAGAACAAAACCCTAATTCTACCAATAAAACAGATTATTTTCCAAACCAGAAAACCAAATCCACTGCCATCAAGTTGCTTTTGACACATAGGAACCTACATTAGAGCTGTTTTTTATATGTACCTGATGAAGTGCTCCTGCTGGCAAGACAATCGCATCACCAAGGAACTGGATAAGAGTGAAGGTTCTCACTCCATGTTCTTCAAGCAGTCTCTGGCGGAGCTTTTTGTTCACATACCAGCTTTGGTCACGTATCGGATCATGTTCTGGTAGAACCTCAAGGCCTTGTTCTTTTGAAATCTGAAACATGGATAAGATTTAAAACACAATTTTTAGATAATATCAACCTTCTACAATACTTTGAGAAGTTAACAGCTAACAAAACAATATGGCACACTGTTGAGCTGTTTCTATTGCATTACAGTACAGACACTCCTCACTTTCCCCTTCAATATATAGTACCCATCCTCACGGTTCCTTCATTTACATTACAGGTACAGCACATAGAGATATAGAAAGGAGGTTTAGTTACTTTCCTCCCCCAGAGTAAAAATCAGTATAAGACACATAAACATATCTGGCAGGAGCCATTCACGAACGTTATTTCAGAGCCTACTGTTGCAGCCACTATGCTAATCAATCTCATTGAGGGTTTAACTCTGCACCACTGCACCTTCTACTTGACTGAGCAGGATGTCCTTTTCCAGGGCCCGGCCTCTCCCGTTAACATGCCCAAGAACGAGAGAGAAGTCTTGCTATCTTTCTTTCTAAAGATCCGTCTGGTTATACAGCTTCCAAGACAGATTTGTTTATTCTTTACAGCTCATGGTATGTTCAATATTCTTCACCAGCACCATTAATTCAAATGCAATGATTCTTCTTCGGTCTTCATTACTCATTGTCCAATGTTCACAAATATATGAAGCAACTGAAAATACCATGGTTTGGGTCATTCATACGTTAGTCCTCAAAGTAACATCCTTGCTCTTCAATCCCTCAAGGAGCTATTATGCAGCTTCCACGAGCATTGATTGTGGATCCAAGCAAGAAGAAATCCTTGACAACTTCAATCTTGATATTACCTATTTGGTCCAATTGTGAGGAATTTGGTTCCCAAATCTTTTTCTGGCACTTTTTTATAAAACAGGAATAAAGATAAACCCTTATTTACTAGCCTTCTAACCCTTGAAATTTTAATTTCAAGAATTCTCTTTACCAATCAGTATAATCTGCCACATTTTAGATTAGAATATTGGGAGGTATTCTGAGATAAGACCATAGATACAGATGTTAAAAACTTTTCTGAATTAAGATGAAAGTAAAACAAGATTAACAGTGGTGATGATCCATTAGGGGAAATCCCCGTAATTATAAAATTTTTAAAATATTTGAGGGAAGTTTTGAAACAATGAATAAACAGTTAACTAAATTAAAGGTACCATCACTCAAAATTTCAGTCTACTCAGATAAATAATAAGATATGGTAATGTAGAATTATTCTTTAAGTTAATAGCCCCCAAATCAATCAGATTAAAACCTCAACATGAAAAGTTTCTTTGAGAAAAGACTTTCGAATTTCCACAAATATAGGCATTCTTTGTATATTGTGAAATCAGTTCTAGACAGCAATAAAATGAGTGTTGCCATTAAGCTAGTCACACAAGCTTTGAGTTTCCCCGTGTATATAAAAGTTTTATTTACACAACAGCGTAGTCTATTGGTTATGTGACAGCACTGTAGGGAAAATATAAAATATAGTGAAAACTACCAGAGTAATTACCAGAGAGTGAACAAGCCTTCACTTTGTTAAAAATTACCAGAGACACAAGGAGCCTTGACGAGGTAGTTGGTCACCACTGGGCTGCTAGCCACAGGGCTAGCAAATTCAAAATCACCTGCTCAGCTCTGCAGCAGAAAAATGAGGCTTTCTATTCCAGTAAAAAATTGTAGTCTCAGAAACCCACAAGTAATTCTACACTGACCCAATGGCAGTGAGTTTGCACAGACATAAAGTGAGCACAAGCTATTGGAAAAAAGGGAACCAAGAGACTTATTCCAAACGGGGTTGCCATACACCTTCACTTTTTAAAAAACACAGTATTTGAGCAGTGCAGTAACACTAGTTATGGCTATACATAAAAATCCCCATAATTTTGAAAGGAGAACCACTTAAGGTCTTTTATATTAGTGAGGGCCCAAAGAGGTTACATTAATTAAGTCCTTGCTCAAAATAAAGAGATAGATTATTTGCAACTTAAATTATACCTTTTGAAGAAATTCTCTTATCTTGTCAACATCTTTCCCAGCATATATATGCCACAGAGCACCAGGTATTTCACTTGAGTCCTTCAATCTTTTTCTTAGAATATCATCCAAATCTTCTTCTTCAAATTTCTTGAGTATTCCTGAGATATATTGGAATATTTTTAGATTTATTTATTTATTTTTTTTGGGGGGGGGTTTAGATTTAGTCAGTAAAAATTTTGAGAAAGCTAAGTCTTCTAATATTGATTTAGCAAAGCAGCAGGGGTGCCTAACAGAATCTGGGAATCTTGAAGAGTGTCAAAGCAGGTATGTTCAAAACTGTTACAATGCAAAAGTACAGGGAATAGTGGTAGTGTGTCACTGGGGATAGAACAGTACTTTTCTTAGTTCATTTACTTTCTGGCAAACTAAGGAGCATATGAGATTTAGAGAAAGAAATAACCGACAGCTTCTATTCAAGCTTAATGCTTTTTTGTTCTGTCCCAAAGGGGTAGTCATAATAACAACTTGTTTTTAAAATGTATTTATTTCAGAATTTACAAAGGTTTTTCTTGATCATGACTAGTAGGTCCTTATAATTAATCACATAATATATTCAGGTTATTACAATTTTCATTTATATTTGTTTAGTGAGATGATTACTCTTAATACAACTAATGAATGGTGGAGCAAAATTTATTCTGAATCTAGTTTGTCCTATATAATTATAATATGCTACTACATAGCGTATATATTATTGTGGTTAATCTGTTAACAAACACAAATGCTTCAAGAAAAAATAAAGTTCTAGTTGTGAGGAAATATGAGACCATTCTTCTAAAATGTTGACAAACTGAAAAGCCCGCCATCTCTCTCTCTCTCTCATACACTTTTGTGTATGTATATTACATATACTGTGTGGGAGGTGTGTGTGTAGTAGACAAGTAGATATAGTGTGAATTAAAAATTCTTTTTCTCATGTGAATTTTTGATTTCATTATAGGAAACATTTCAAAGAAATGTCCTATTAACATAAAAGCATAACCTGCCACAAAAAATAAATCACGTTTCCTAATTTGTGCTAATGAAGTATTTTCCTATTTTTAACTTAGTGTGAAGATCTCTCAATTCAAACATGCATTGTTTACTATGTGATAGATACTATCTTAGAAAATGTTGGCTAGTGCACAAACCAGTGGCTCAGTTCTCAAATAATATCTGTGACAAAGTCCCCCTGCCACCCCTAAAGCATGTCAAAACACGAAAATGAAGGAGCCTGTAAAAGATTATCATAAAGAAAATATATTTTGCAACAAAGCCCACATGGAAGAAGCACACCAGCCTATGCAACCACGAGGTGTCGAAGGGATCAGGTATAAGGCATCATCAGAACAAAAAATCTTACCATAGTGAATGATGGGGGTGTGTGCAAAGTGGAGACCCAAAGCCCATGAGTAGGCCACTGGAGATCCCCTTGCAGAGGGGTCTTGGGGAGCAGATGAGCCATTCAGGGTGCGATGTAACAACGATGAAAAATACAACTTTCCTCTAGTTCCTAAACGTTTCCTCCCCTGTTTCTTTCCACTACCATGACTCGAATTCAACCTTGCAAGTCTGACTAGACCAGAGGATGTACACTGGTACACACAGGAACTGAAAATACAGGGAATCCAGGGTGGATGAGCCCTACAGGACCAGTGGCGTGAGTGGCAAAACAGGGAGGGTAGAGGAAGAGTGGGTAGGAAAGAGGGAACCGATTACAAGGAACTATATGTGACCTCCTCCCTGGGGGACGGACAACCGAAAAGTGGGTGAAGGGAGACGTCCGACAGGGCAAGATATGACAAAATAACAATTTATAAACTATCAAGGGCTCATGAGGGAAGGGGGAGCGGGGAGGGAGGGGAAAAATGAGGACCTAATGCCGGGGGTTTAAGTGGAGAGAAAATGTTTTGAGAATGATGAGGGCTATGAATGTACAAATGCGCTTTACACAATTGATGTGTGTGTATGGATTGTGATAAGAGTTGTCTGAGCCCCTAATAAAATGAGTTTAAAAAAAAAGAAAATATATTTTAGTTTCATTGTAGCTTTCACATGGGAGGGGTTTAAAATATTCTTTGTTTCACACAGCTGGTGCGATTAAGAGGAGTCATAGGGACCAGGTAACAGGCATCAGCAGACACATAACCAAAAACACTTTTTTGAGAACGATGGGGTGGAGTTGGTGGAGGAGAGATCTAAAGACCATCTGTAGACAATGGAACAATCTCCCCAGAGGGGCCACAGGGAAGGAATGAGTCAACCAGGGTACAGTAAAGCATCAATGAAACACACTACATTCCTCTGGTTCCTTGAAGCTTCATCACTCCCCACTACCATGACTCCAGTGCTGCTTCTTTAATTCAGACTCCACCGGAACATGTACACGGGTATACATAAGAGATGGATTCCAGGAACAGGAGTGGGAATAGCGATACCAGAAGGGTAGGGGGAAGTGGGGAGAGGAAGGGAGGAAGGGGGAACAGATCCCAATGATCGACACATAACCACACACCCCTCTCCAGGGGGAAGACAACAGAAACCATGGGGGAAGGGAAAGGGAGAGAGCGGTAGGTGGGCTATGAGGGTGGGAGGGAGGAAAAAAAAGAGACACTGATACCAAAGGCTCAATAGAAAGCAAATGTCTTGAAGAAAATGAAGGCAACACATGCACGAATTTGCCTGATGTCAGCAATGTATGGATTCTGACAAGAGTTGTTTAAGAGTCCCCAATAAAATGGGGGGGAAATACTTGGTTTTAAAAATTAAGTTGATGATTTTTACTGTGCGCATCCTTAAAAATTAAACATTGGAAACATTAATTTTTTCACCTTTTCAATTTTATGGCTCTAGAAATTAAAAAGAAACCAGAAAAAAGGAGGTGATGAGTCCATTGGTAAGGAAATGACTGGCTGGGCTAGAGAAGTTTATTATCTCCTGAAGACCTCTAAGATGACAATCTGAAGTACACTTTGAAGGATGAATTTCAGAATTCATCCTTGGTATCTTGCCAGGGAGACAGGAGGTAGAAGAGATTCTATAGGCAGAAATAAAGCATGTGGGCATTAGTATATAACCCAGGGTTTTGCATTCAGGTGCTAACTGCAAGATCAACAGTTCAAACACACAAGCTGGTCTGCAGGAGAAAGATAAGGCTTTCTGTCCCTGTTTAGATTTATAGCCCTGGAAAAACAAAAGGGCAATTCTAGTCTGTCCAAAAAGATTCTTAGAGTTTGAATGGACACCATGGCAGTAGGTTTTTCTTGTGTTTGTTTAAAACACTGTTTTCTTTGTGATGTACAAAAAGACAAAAAATTTAAATAAAGTAAGAGAGTCCAAGAATAATTTAAAATGTTGAAAGTTTCATAAAAAGATCAAGCACGCTAGGGTTTGCAGGTGGTGATGAAGAGTAGGAGTAAAGACAGACTATACAGTTCCAGCATTCAGGAAATGATAGACTAGTCGGGAAGAAAAGCAGGTGCTACTGTAATGGAGAGTAAGTACCACAGAGAATGGTTTGCATTAGGCACAACAAAGAAAAAGGATAATTATGTTGAACCAGGTCACAATTATGTGACATTAAGAAGTCTGGGTGACATTGCAGATTGTGTGCTGGGCTACAAACCACAAGACAAGCTGTTTAAATCCACCAGAAGCTCCACAGAAGATAAAAGCTTTCTGCTCCTGTGAAGATTTACAGCCTTAGAAACAAACCCTTATCCAGTCACTCTGCATCAGAACGGACTCATTTTTGGTTTGGTACCTGACTTTAAAATGTTGGCTAGGGTGGGGTGGAGGTGTTCTAATTATATAGTGAATACTGTCAATTAAGAAACATGAAAGTGAGTTTTTATACTTTTGGGGAATTTAAGTTGTGCACCATATTCTAAGTGGCAGCAAGTTATTTAGAGGCTAACATACCAAGTAGAGAAAAGAGAAAATAAACTCTGTTACTCCGAAATAGAAGCGGCAAAAGAAGCCTGAAAAATGGGGTGGTGCAGTCCATGATGTGGGACCAGGGAAATGGTGGGCCAAAAGCCTTGTATTTGAAGTAGTGATCCACATGCCAATTCCTACAGAAGGAGCAAATAATAAAAAGATTTTAAAAAATGTTCAATCACCCAAAATGAGAGTTGGTGTGAGCCACAGCAACAGTATTTTCAGTAAAACAGCAGGCACTAAACCAGGTCTCAGAACCTCAAGTATTTTGATGGGAAGGGAGAGAGAGAATGGTGGAATTTTCTAAAGTCTGCTCCCATTCTAAAGAGAAAACAAGCCAGCAGGGAGGGAAAAGTTAAAAGATCTATCTTCATGTCTCTATTTAAGAGAAAGGAGTAACAATTGCAGGAAAGTTTTAGGTGAACAGCAGCAATAAAACTGATGGATCTAAACCTTAGGTAGGAGAAAGGCAGAGAATTTCAAATGGGAAATAATCTCTCCTTTGATATTGGAGAGAAAAAAGATGTATGTTTGAGACGAAACCATGCCTTATTATCTTCAGAGCCCCAAGACCGAGTTTCTATTCTTTAATTGAATTTATTCTCCTGAAATTGATTGTGGTGATGGTTGCACAACTCTTCTTAATAGGAATAAACTATTATGTTACGTGTGAATTTTTTTTTAAATCATTTTATTAGGGGCTCATACAAACATCATTCTCAAAACATTTTCTCTCCACTTAAACCCCTGGCATTAGGTCCTCATTTTTCCCCTCCCTCCCCGCTCCCCCCTCCCTCATGAGCCATTGATAGTTTATAAATTGTTATTTTGTCATATCTTGCCCTGTCCGACGTCTCCCTTCACCCACTTCTGTTGTCCGTCCCCCAGGGAGGAGGTCACATATAGTTCCTTGTAATCGGTTCCCTGTTATGTGTGAATTATAATCCAATAAAATGATTTTAAAAATCCATTGTCAAAAAAACCCTAAATATTCAATGCAGTTCATTTTGGAATCTGTAATTATTAACCAAGAGGCTGGCATCCTGGTTGATACTAATGCATGTAGTTGTTCAATTGTTATTCCAAAGACAATAACTATTCCTTCAAGATTCTTTACCTGCTTTTGAGAGAACACCATTTCCTTTTGCTATGCCAACGTGAACTAGAATATTTACAACATCAGAAACTTCAATATGAAGATTTGTTGTCCCTATATCATGATCTTTTGCAGCAGCTACACCTATGAATGAAATAAAATTTTATTGGTTGTTAATTCCTAATTATAATGCTTAATATAAAAAAATCAAATTATTCAAAGAACAGATTATATAAAAACTAATCATAAAAAAAAAACAAACACCACCCTAATCATCATTACAGTCTATCTTTAAAGTTTCTGTTAAAATCATATGTAATTCCATTTTGGGAGAGATGTATTCCAATATACACCCACCATATGCACTGCACAACCTGGGCCCTAGATCAGGTCGTACAAAAAATCCTGGCAAATGAGAGGCTAGATTGAATTTTCCTTCTGGACTACAATATTCTGGCAATGGCAGGCTCTTTAAAAGATCTTCATATCTGAAAAATAAGAACATTAGATGGGAAAAATTTACATTTTAAAATATTTTTAATATATAATTTCAAAATTCTTCAAATCACAAGACAAACTTTCCTGGAATTAGTTTGAAAATTGCAACGCCTTTATTGCTTACAACCAGCACAGGGGAAGTGAGGCTGACTCGAGCTCCACCTTGCCTTTCTAGTGACCACAGAGCTAGAGGAGGAAGGAACGCGCATGGCCCTCACGTGTCTGGCGTGAGCACTCTCCTTTACTGCTCTCACATGAACGCTTGGCCTCCTGATGAGGTTGAAGATACTCAGTTTTGCTTTCTAAAAGATTTAAACTGAGAAAGTAAGCTCATAAAGAGCTTACTTTGCAAATAATCTCAGCTCAACCTCGAAAAGCCAAGAGTCAATAAAATAGAAATGTTAAGAGATATACTACCTTGCTGGCATCATCGTCTTGAAATCTTCTCCTGAAGGGCAATCTTTCAATTTTAAAACAACTGTTTCCCCACTTTGGGTTTTTTGCCGTTCTATAAAGAATACAGTTAGTTACTAACAAGGGAACAACTGCCTTTTAATTTCTATTAATGTTTTCTTTGGATAAAATGTTATCATTTAAAAAAAATAAATAATAGTAAAATAACAGTAGCAACAAAAAAACATACTTGAAACTTCTTCAAAACCATCCCAGAATTCCTTAACATTGCCATTTGAAGTAATGCTATCTTTGCAGTTCAGCAGATCGGCTTGCTGGTCTCCAAAATCAAGACCAATTGACTCTGCCTTCCACAAGCTCGTGTTCATTTTCTTGTGAACACCAGAAACCAACGCAGGCTAAAAAAAGTAAAAAAGATGAGAGATAAGAATTACATTTACTTGAACATCTACTAATCTATTATTAAAACATACATCGACACTTAAAAACTTAATTTTGTATTCATATACTCATATAGATAATACAGGCCTAATGAAAGATTAGTAAGTACAAAAGACACTAAATAGTAATCATCCCTGATGTGTAAAGGCATATTATTAGATATTAGATAGAAAAGATGATACAAGAGTGTTATGTATAATATAATGTTTTTTAAATAAAAATTTTAATGTATAATAATTTTCAGAAAAAGTATAGAAGGGGATAATACAAATTTTATCCATAGGTAAAAAGATTTTTAGGTTGCTTTATCTATAGATTATTTATTATAGGAATACTATTGTTATAAACATCGATTTCTTGAAATTGAAGCATCATAGAATTTCTTTCATTTAAAGTATGTATGCACACATGTAATATGCATAGACAAAAACACTCTTATCACCTACACGGATATAAAAACCTTAACCAGGAACCATACAATTATTAATGAAAGAACAAATCAAAATGATAAAAAAGTCTACTTAACTACTTGCTTGAACACTTGATTAAGAAATTTTTTCAATGTGCTAATAACATATTCAATTGTGAAAATACACCCAGTTATTAGGTAACTAACAACTACCGTTGGCAACTCACAAATTCATCACAGATTATATATAAATTCTGAGTGTTTATTAGCCCATCTAATAATATATTTCTTCTTTTCATGATCTGTTCCTTGGGAAACGTAACTAGATTTTTCAACAGGGAAGATTTATTAATTAGGCAAATGGAAATAATTCAAAGACTTCTTAGACATCATTATCATCATCTTGAAATACTAAAAAGGTTTTCTAATTAGTATTTCTGTAACTGCTGTTATCCTCTAATTCAACCTCCAATTTAACATTTTTTATATACCTGTCAATTAAAATGATAAGACTGTAAGAAATAATTCAAAGTCCTTTGCACATCATATACATCCACTATGTCCCCAGAGACAAACACAATTACTTAAGAGTTCTCTGAATGCTTGATGCTCTTAAAAATTTCCAGCCTTTCAGACATAGAGTGAAATTTTATTTTAGTATCAATTAAGAATAGCTTTTAAAACTAGTATCCTAATTCCCATAGCTGCCTTTCTGTTTCAATAGCATCTGGACTAAAGTTCTTGGGAATTTAACATAGTAGTAAAGATATTTCCATGTTACACACCTTATGTTCACACAAAACTAAAAGTTCTAAAATTATGGTCCAGGAGTAGCCTCTGGATTTCAAGGAAATCTATGAAACCTCACCAAAAAAAAAAAAAAAAATACAGTGATACCTTGGCTTTCAATTGCTCCATGTTCAAAGTTCTGCTTGGTGTTGTTCATAACTTTCCTTAATAGTGAAACTGAAAATGACTTGAAAACACCTGTCCGGGCCAAGAGGTGAATCACTGCCGTGTCTCACTATGGACACAAAGGGGTGATGCCACACACTCACCCAGACAACGTACGGTAGCTTGTGTTAATACATTAAAATACTCGTCATTGTGTTTTTTCCTGTTTTATTTGTGTACAATATGATAATCACAGTTTCCAAGAAAGTTAGGGATACCAGTAGTAAATCTAAGTGGAAAACTGTGAGAACCACGAAAGAGTTAAAGAAAGAAATCTGTGCGAAATTTGAAATCAGGTCGCTGGTTGTCTGATTTGGTGGCTGAATACAAGGCTAGGTTGACATCAACATTAAAAAAAAAGTGATTAAAGCAGCTAATGTAGTGACAGGTGTAAAATTCTTAACCAGGAAACAAAGAACCCTGATCATCAATCATCAGAGGTTGAAAAGTCACTTTTGATTTGGATAAAAGAAGCAAGTTGGTGAGGATAGTGTATTCAAGACAATGTTATGTGAAAAAAGCTAAAAGCCTCCATAGTGAATTTATAATAGTGTATTTTTGGGGCTTCAGAACCAATTACTTGGTTTTCCATTATTTCTTAATGCAAAAATGTGTTCAGTTCTTGAACTTTTTGGTATTCAAACATGAATTTGGAAGAAATGAAGTTTTGACAACCAGGCATCACTGTACATGCAAAATTGTGTGTACATGCACTGCATGGGTATGTATTTTTTTCCTAGACAGAATGCAACTAACTTTTAATCAAATTTTAATAGGAGTTCCCCCAGAAATTAACAACAAAGAATGCCAGAAACTATATAGGGCTTCTGAAATTATACATTTTTATGGGAGCAGACAACCTCATTTTTCTCCCTTGGAGCAACTGTTAAGTAGGTTTGAACCACCCACTTTGTGTTTGCAGTCCGGTGCTTATCCCATAGCACCACTAGTGATCAAGAGCTATGAATTCTGGATTAAAGTGGTTCTTATTCATCTCTTAACTCATTTTTATACAATATTCATTTTAATATCTAATGCCTGTCATACAGAATAAATCTCTTTAGGTGAGAAATAAATGTTCAATGAACAAAGTACTATCAAATAATCACTGGTTTTCTATTAATTTATCTATCTGGCCCAAAAATAAAAATTCAGAAACAGAATTCTAATAACCCTTTTGTTTTTTTTGATACCCTACTTTCTATCACATGTGATCAAGAAATATTTCCAAATCCTGAAAATAATTTATCAGTAACCCTCTTGCCTATTCAGACTTTAAGTTTTAAATACTCACTTGTCCTTGTCGCCAGCATTCTTTGAAAAGCTTCCAGTTATTACCGTTCTTATAATCCTTAAGCCATAAAATATGCTTTTCGCAGATCCAAGAATGTGGTATATCACTGTACACTTTATTTTCATTCATGGCACATTTTTTGCTTTCTTTAGGTTCTTCTTTAAGTTCTGATTTTACATTTATCTTAGAGGCTTTATTTGGTGGAATTTTGTTTTCAACAACTGAAGCAATTATGTCATCAAGAATATTTGGCATACTCCTTCCACTTTTGCTACTCTATTAAGAGGAAAAAAAATTGTCTGAAATAATGTTTATCTTGAGGGACAAAGTACACATTTTTTTCTCCAAGACTTATATTTTTAACAGGCTTTCATGTGACTGCTAACAGACAAGGATTCCGAGTCCATGCACTGTTCCTGAGGCATGCGCACCCTGAGTTTGGTTCTCTCCATGGAACTGCCGTGTGCACATCTTACATCTTGTTTTAGGTCTTTGGAAGACAGGCTCCTAAAAATGTGTACATTCCCATGTAATCCCCCTTGCTCATCTATCTAGTGAATGATTAAAATAAAAATATGATCTCTAAATATTTTAAGTAACATAAAACATACTTTTCTTTTATGTTGTTACCTATGAGAGCAATGACTTTCAAATTCTTAAAAGTATCTCAAGGCATTCTAGAAGCATTGTTTTCCTAGGAAAATGGAAGTTAAAAAATCCCTACTTTTAATAAAATAAAACGTGTGAACATGCCTATTATTCTTGTATATTTCATTTGCAGCAGTTCAAGGCCAGTAGGCACACCCTCAAATCATTTAAATTTAAAGGCTACATTAAACACACAAAAAGCAGGCATCCTACTTACTGGGGTCCCCATTGAATACACTGGTGCAAATGCAATACCAGCATCTGTAGAGCCCACTCGTAGCTTGCCAGCTGTTGTTGTCAGCAAATCCCGTAAGGTTGAGCCTTGTTCATTACTCTGGGACACTGAAGGAGATGCTCTGCAGTTTGGAGAACTGGGGTTTTGTTCCTGTTCTTCTTTCATGGATTTTTCAAGTGCACATTCTTTGTTTTCTGAAATGAAACATGCGACAAAATTTAAATACAATTCAGTATGTTGCAGAAACACAGAAGTAGCACCCTGCATTTTATTGTGAGGAAAAAACTGTAGCACTAGTGATTGATTCACCTGATTACACACCAGAGGATGGATTAGATCCTTCATATGGAGTCAAACAGTTTGAATATGAAAAGGCCATCCTCAACATCTTAGACATGTAGCTGAGTTTGTACCTGTCACAAATGAAAAATGCTATAGCTAAGACAGGCTCAAAGTATAGGTATGATATTTATCTATTGTCCTTGTGGTTTTATTAATATGCTCATCCATAATGATTCTGCAGCTAATTTTGATGCCATCACGGAAGGGAAGGCACAGAGTATCTAATGAGAGAAGATACTTTTTTATTGAACCTAAGCCATGAGGTAAGCAGGACAAATATCAATTGTTCTAAGTTACTAGAACTCTGCAGAATACAGTGTAATCCTCTAGTACCCAAAACCAGATGAAACTCACTAACACCGAGTCAATTCCTACTCACAGCAACCCTTACTGGACTGAGGAGAACTTCCCCTGCTAGTTTCCAAGGCTGTAACTCTTTATGGAGCAGAGAACCTCATGTTTCTCCTGAAGAGTGGCTGGTAGTGCAAACTACTGACTTTTGGTTAGTAACCCAACTTGTAACCCACCACACCAACAGCAGTTCCTCATCCTACAGTACATGCTTAGATAATTAGCTACATTTACCTTTTTTTTCCTCTCTGGCTTTTTGCTCTGCGAGATCTGCTAACCAGTGCAGTGGTGACTGGGATTCTGGAGGAGTTAACTTGCTGTCGGTACTGACATCACTTCCAGGGCTGCTGTTACCATTTGTCTCATACTTCTGAGGAGTATTTTGATCCTGAGACTCAGGAATGCACAGAGAAATTTTATTACTGTGATTAAGAACATTCTGCAAAACCTATAAGGGTTAAAACAATTGAATTTTTTAATACCTCTCTTCAATTATACATAGTTAAAAATAAGTTATATACACTAACCCAGAAAATATAAAAAACCTATGTTTTACATTGATTTTAAAATGTTTATTCCCCTCGAGGACTGGGGGTAGGGACCCATGGGGGCCAGCAAACAGACATGGACCTATGTAAGGTTTTTTTTCAACCCTACGTTTTCGTATTGTTCGGAGTAGGACACTGTTGGTTTGCTAATTATATGGGTTGGACATGGGAGGAAAGTTTGGGGAGAAGGCAATGGAGCCAATGGCCCCGGGAGGTTTAAGGGGAAGGAGGTGGAGAGAAGGGTGTGTTGAGCGGACGATTTCATGGACAGGGGAACAACTAGGGAAGTGGACCCAGCATCCAGGAGAGAGCAGACATCCTGTGAGTATTAGAGCAACACCAAGCTAGTGGAGAGGAAGCACATAGAGGTGGAAGAAGGGGAAAAGTGATGGTGGGGCAGGAGGAGGCAAAAGGCAACAGAAGCAAACTCTAGGAACCAAGGGCATGGATAGAGAGATCAACAGAGATCTGCACTATGTAAATACATTAATCCCTAACGATAGTGGTATTGGCCTATGTACATATATTTATAAGGCATTACACTGAAGCTGCAGACGGGCCTTGGGACTTAAGCCTCGGCTCCTACTTTCCCTCAATATAAGAACACACTGTTTTAACAAATTGGCATTCTGTGATGCTCACCCATCCAGCCCCTACACGATTGCTGAAGACAAAATGGGTGCATAAGCAAATGTGGTGAAGACACAGGATGGTGCCCGGCTATTAAAAGATATAGTGTATGGCTGGAGTCTTAAAGGCTTGAAGTTAAATAAGCAGCTATCTAACAGTGAAGCAACAAGCCAACATGGAAGAAGAACACCAGTCGGTGCGATCAACACAGGGCAACAGGCATCAGAAGATTCACAGCAAACAGTAAACAAACAAACAAACAAACTAAAATGCATTGGTGAAATTGGAGGGGGGTTGGAGTGGAGACCCCAAGTCCATCTGTGGACAATGGAACATCCCCTCACAGACGAGTCGCAGGGAGGGGATGAACCAACCAATCAAGGTACAGTAGAGCACCAACAGATCATGCAATATACCTCTGATCCCTAGAGGCCTCCTCACTCCCACTAACATGACCCCAGTGCCGCTCCCCACTCTGGACTAGACGGGAGCATGTACACAGGTGTAGGCAAGAGATAAAACACAACACATGGAATCCAGGAACCGGAATGGGAACAGAGATGGCAAAAGGATAGGGGAGGGGGGGTGGGGGTGGGGAGAGGTGAGGAAGGAGGGGGGCACCTATCGCAATGAACGGCACATAACCACACACCCCCAATCCAGGGGAAGGACAACAGAAACCAGAGGGGAAGGGAGACAGTGGATGGTGTGAGATTTGAAAATAATTAACAATCTATGAAGGGGCCACGAGGGTCGGGGAGATGGGGAGAGGGGGGAAAAAAAAGGGAGCTGATCCCAAGGTTCAATGGCAAGTAAATGTCTAAAAAACAATGATGGAATATATGTACTAATATGTTAGATACAACTGATGTATTGATTGTAACAAGAGTTTTAGGAGTCCCCAATAAAATTACCTAAAAAAACATGTTTATTAATTTAGCTTTACGTATTATTTGATTAAAATTATTATTTTACTCACCTGAGTCATACCATTCATGGAACAAAAATTTCCAACTTGTATATTCTGCTTGTTAGTACAATGACAGTGGGATTTTATACCAAATTTTTCTCTAAGCATGTGCACTGCATCTAAAAGATCTGTCAAAACTACAAAATAAAACGAGTTAATAAAAGTTAACACTGATTCTTAAGACTGACTTTAAAATTTTCTTCCATTTTTCTCTATTATTTTTTCAACAATTGATCGATCAATCTCTACATATATGCCTGTACTCTCTCAACAAATTAAAAATCTAGTGTGTTCAAAAGATATAGAAGCCTTTCATTTATGAATGATTAGATGGTGCTATGCATAGTTGAAAATTAGTAAATAAATCTATAAAAAGCTGGGGGGAAAAAGCCTTTCATTATAAATCCAGTATGATTTTTTTCATTATACTTTAAAAAATGACTCCTCTGATTTTCATCATCAGGCTTGTCTTATCTTCCTAAATTTATACAAGTTTATACAATAACTGAGCAAAAACTTGTGAAGATTAGAAAAACACCTTACCTCTCTCTTTTTAGAGTCCTACAGAGTAGCACACAACCGAAAGTCTGGTTATCCTATAATACTATGTTTGAACTTACCAGAACCAGGTATAATCTGAGTCGGCATTAAATGCTTGTGGTCATGAGGCTGTCCCTTCACACACTTCATCCAAGCATAGAGCTCCTTATCTGTAAGAAAATTGTAACAGACCTGTTTTTATATTGCTCTTAGTTTTAGACAGATAAAATCAGTAGCTTGCATATTAAGAGCTCAACCGCTTTATAATAAAATGACTGAACCTAAAAATTTAAGCCAGAAGACAGTGAATTTTACATAAACAGTGATTCAAAATGGACACAAAATCAGAGACTTCTAAAATGTCCACTTTTATTATTTATCAGTGTATTGTTGTTAGTGGACATTGAAGTCAATTCCAACTCTTTAAGAACCTGATAGAAGGAAATATTGGTCTTCTAACATCAGTATGATCATTGCTGTTTGAGTCCTTTGTTTTGGCTGTTATAATCTGTTAACTACTCCAAACAGCATGTCCTTCTCTCATCGATCATTCCTGATCATGTGTCAAAAGTATGTGAGCTGAATTTTCAATAGCCTCACTTCTAAGGAGCGCTCTACTTGAATTTCTAGTAAGACCAATTTGTTTGCTTTTCAGGTACTCCGCAGGATATTCAATATTTTTTTACTAATATCATATTCCAAATGCATAAAGCCTCTTCCCTTTTTTTGGCCCAGTTTTCCCATGTATATGAGGTTGTTGAAAAGAGTATGGCTCAGGCAGGCATACCTTAAGGCCTCAAGGTGACATTTTTCATTTTTAACACTTGAAAAAGATCTTTTACAAATTTGTCCAAAGCAAAATTATATTTGATTTCTTGACGATTTCTTCCATGAATGTTGACTGTTGATCCAAGCAGGATGACAGCACTGATAGCTTCAATTTCTGTTGTTTGAGTCTAGTTGCGCTATAGCTAATTTTCTTTCATAATTCATGCCAAACAAAGCTTTGTCTGATCCTAATCTGTAAATTATACTGACAAGTATAATTCCCTAAAAGCTTCAAAAAAGACATGTAAAGAAATAATTTCTAATAAAACTATTAAAAAAACTAATAAAACTATTTAAAAAAAAGAAATAATCTTAAGGGCATATAAAAATGCCCTTAAATTTAGCAGATAGTTGTTATAAATTTAGCAGATAGTTGTTAATCTTGCTTTCATATTAAGGTATAGTAAGGAAGTTATCATATAAACATAAGGTTTATAGTTGAGCGACTGCAGCTGTAAGTGAGATGCCAGTGGTGTGGGTCCTTATGGGCAGTCCCAACCAAGCTGCTTCGACCGCGTGAAGATGGGCTTTGTGATGGGTTGTGCCATGGGCATTGCGCCTGGGGAGCTCTTCGGCACTTGTTCGAGTCTCAGAATCAGAATGCAGGGTCGGGAGCTGATGGGCAGCACTGGAAAAACCAAATTCATGACGATTGGGATGGGCATCCAAAGCTGACCCATGCAGTGGTTGCCTAGTAGGTCTACCCTCTCCCACCAATTGTAACCCATGTACTATAATAAAACAAAGTCTTTGAGTGAAAATAAATAAGCATAAGATTTATTACCCTGATCTCAAGTTCTTTATAGATTTAACGACGTGGGCTATTAACTATGTAATGACAGCAGTTTCCATTAATATCACTCAGCTCATTAAACTATAACTTGTTTTCTGAGAGCCTTGGTAGTTTATGGAGGCATCCATTCGGCTGCTATTCACAGGGTCAGCAGTTAGAAACCACCGGCTACACTGAGGGACAAAGAAGAGGCATTCTATTTCTGTAGTCTCAGAAACAAAACACTATCCTAAAGTATCACTATGAGACAGAATTGACCAGAAGGAAGTGAGCTTGAGTTTAACTGCTTTTCACTAAACAAACTAACCCAATATCATGAGATGATTCTGGTTCATGGCAATGAGAAGTGTTCCAGAGTAGAATGTTTTTTTAGTTGTACTTGGCAGCCAGATTTTTCTACCAAGGTGCCACTAAAATACCAATCTTCATGTTAGTAAACACCAACTGTTTACAGCATTCCGATCAACCCCACCCACCAAAAAACTTACAGAAACCAAATCCAATTAAAAAAAAAGAGATAAAATCAGATCTAAAACGAGTATTCCTTTGTGAAACACTGTTGACGTCTCTCCAATGTGGAAATGTTTTCTAAAAAACTAAATTTTAAGAACATGTTGATCATCACTCTTTGTGTTAAGTGCCATTAAGTTATATCTGACTCATGGCATCCTTATGTACACCAGAATGAAATTATTCCTGTACATTGTAACAATTGCTGCTAAGTTTGAGGCCATTGTTGTAGTCACTATATCAATCCATCTCATTGAAGATTCCTCCTGTGCCTCCCCCACACCCAGACTCCTTTACCAAATATAACGTCCTTCTACTGATAATATGTCCGAAGTACGTGAGATGAAGTCTCACTATCTTCCCTTCTAAGGAGCATTCTGGGTGTACTTCTTCCAAGACAGTTATGTTCTTCTGGCAGTTCATGGAATATTTAATATTTTATGATATATTCAATAGTCCTCAGCAAGCCACAATTTAAGTAATCGCCAGTCTTCGTCATTCATTGTCCATCTTTTGCATGCATATTAAATAACTGCAGATAAGATAGCTTATACATCTTCGTCCTCAAGGTGGCATATTTGTTTTTAATACTTTAAAAAGATGTTTTACAGCTTTGTCTAATAAAATTTACTTTTTGATTGCTGCTTCCATGGGTTGATTATTTTGACAAATGATAGCTGTATTAAGAGCTGTATAATAAGATAGATCAATGAAAATATATATGATTCAGAAAATATTAATGAAGCATGTAAATTATATTTTATAAATGATAAGGGGGTGATTAGACTAGACTTTCAAAATCAATATTAATAATAACACATCTATCTTCGTCAAATAAAGATCCATGAAAAATATATACATACACACATATTCAGGGGTGTGTGGTATAATAAATACAATGTTATTTAGCAAGGGGAAAACCAAAGTTAATATAGTAGAACCAAGAGAGAGAGATAAAATGCATGCCAGGAAATGTAACAATGCAGCTAACCTTTATCAAATGAAGGTATTAAAATGTCTACATGGTTTTGAAGATATTTGATCATCTAAAATGCATTTCTTACTATGCTTACCATTTTACTTAATTCACATATATTTTTGCACACCACAGAAACACTTTGATGATAAGCAAATCTTCCTGCTGTTCAGGACTCTGAGGAAGTGATGAGTGTATTAAAAAATTGCTTAGAGAAAAAGGCATTAATAATCTTAAACTGGAATCGATGCTGGTAGCTAATTTATGATTCATTTATCTATATACTACTCTGAAAAAAGAGTTGTTATGAATGAAAATGACAATTACAACACTGAACATCCTATCACCAAATATTTTATTTATAATGCTTGCCCAATTCTAATTCTTTCATTTTATTAGAACTTACCCCACTAATAGGTTGAAGCTTTCAAATTGCCTTGGTAAGTATTTCTAAAACATTTATACCATGAGAAAATACCTAGTTAGCTTCTTGTTTAACTGTGTGTTATCTACAATTGTATTAATAAGCAAAACAAGGTATCTACCTCTTTTACTACAAGATTATAAATATTTGTTTCAAAGGGTGTCTTTGAATACAAAGACTGCTTCTGCTTTCTTTGGTAAAGAGTGGATAAATGTTGCCAGAAGCAATCTTTTAACATTGCAATCCAAACCTTCTTGACCAACATTTAGGAAAATCAATTTACTATTACTTCTTATGTCACTGAGTTGATTGGGACTCACAGTGACCCTGTGACTCCAAGCAGAACTGCCCGTGTATTTTGGAGGCGGTAAATCTTCACAGGAACAGAAAGCCTCATCTTTCTCTCATGGATTGGCTGGTGGGTTCAAACTGCTGACCCTGGGCTAAGATTTAATTAGGCTAGTATTAAAATTGTGACTTAGTGAATGACTATGCAATTAACAGGATCTCAATGGAAGTTCAGATACCTGTACAATGGAATCCCAAAGCAAGAAGGCTCAACCTTCAATTATCTACCTGAAATAACAGACACTAGAGTAAGGCTAAAATATGAGATGTAATTTTATTCTAAAAATCTTGCCATTGATATACTGTTACTATTTATTTTCAAAACAAATTTTACAACACTTCCATAAAAATCAAAGTTATGGTTTAACAAAAAAGAATGCATTGATTTTTCAGATGAGTGACAGTAAAGATTAGAACATTATATGAAAATTATCATTTATATGAAGTTATAAACTTACCTCTAGAACTCTTCCTTTCTTTTGCCTTATAACAATCTAAGCAAACCACAAATCCACATTTTTGGCAGACCCAATGAATGTTAAACAATGTTGCTTCACAAGCATCACACATCTCCCGAACGCCTCGTACTGCTCTTTTCCAAGCAATTTTGGCTGAAATACGGAAAATACCAATATTTAAAAGCAAACTGTTACTGTCAACCTCTCCAAACATTTCTTTGCTAGGCATTCTTTTCTTGTAATATAGCCAAAAGTTTCACGGCAAACACAAGACTAACAAATGGTCACAGGTGAAAATAACAAAATAAACAGCTTTCATGAAAGGAAAATTCTCAACCTTGGCACGTTTGACATTTTGGGCTGAATAAAGCTTTTATTTTGAAATGCTATCTTGTGCATTGTAGGATATTTAGCAGCATTTCTAGCTTCTACTCATTAAAAGTTACCAGCTCATGATTAACAACACACTTCAAGTAGGGCTAGCAGAAATGATTTAATTCCCCTCCAAATCTGCCTCTGGAGTTGGGAAATCACCATATTTCTGAGCCTCGACTTAAAGGGTGAAAAGTAAAATAAAAGTTAGCATGTATACAGAGTATATATAGTAAATTTGCCGGGTGTTTGATCTAAGTCAACACAATTACTTTTTAAACATAGGAAGGGTTTCAATTTTCATTCCATTTTCCCACAAACTCTTTGAAGCCCCTCCCTTTGCACGTCTGAGGTAGTTTTCATTTCTATTTTGCAAAATTGATTTTCAGAGCAGTTATTTGCCAAAAGTCATATAACTAAACAGAAATGAAGGTGAGATTTAAACACAAATTTATCTAACACGAATGGCTGGAAAAAACTACACCAGTTTAAAAACTTTCATAATTACGATAAATTATATTTTTATTTGTAAAATGCTGAAAATTTCCATCAAAATTATCTTTGGTCACAATTAATACTGTATGTACTGATAGTAAAAATAGTAAAAATCACACACTGCTGTGATTTCATGAATTGTTACATTATTCAACTCAATCACGATGAAAAAAAAAAAGTTGTAACCTTTGATATTATAGGTGCATTTGATCATAAACAAGTTTTGAAAATAAGAGAGATTATAGAAGATAAAAGAGTTCTCGAGGGAAATTCTTAAAATGAAATCTGTAGTTATATATTATAGATATGAAACTTTCTTACCATCCTTTTTTACCCAGGATAAAGCAGTTTTCTCAGATGTTACTAGTTGACAGAACTTATCACCTATTACATCCAGTATATATTTAGATGTTTCTATGTCTAGTTCATCATCTTCATAATTTTCATGTGTCCATAAACTTATAGCTTCATCATCATATTGGTCAGGAGAAGAAAACCCATCTATACGAACCACTCCATTTTTACTAAAGGACAATCTAAAACATTAGGATGTAAACGAATTAAATAAGAAAATATTAAGAAAAAAATCCCAGTATTTTAAAAATACAAGCATATAATTTTTTTAAGCATATAATTTTAAAAATAGGCAAACAATGTTTTCTTAATCAACGCAAACAATGGACTGCTGTCTCTATCTGAAAAATATCTTTTGCAGTGTTAAGTAAATGAGAATAATAAGCAGCAGCAATTTCAAGAAATAAGATTTCCCAAATTTTGGATAATTATTTAACTCCAACTAAATGAAAACTAAGCTCGAGTATTTTGATTAGTGACAAAAATTAAAAAGCTAGTAAAGTGCCACCCGAAACACAGGTGATTATTTACACAAGAATCTCTACATACAATCATATAATCTGAGGATGAAAGAAGGGATTAGTATCAGAGCCTAAATAATGAGAATCCGATTTGCAGAAGGTTAGGGATGACAGTGTGAGCCCAAGATTCACTTGTGGGAAGTCCAAAAGAATTATGCCTACAATGAACTCCCTCTACCCACAACTGAAGTGGTTACTAAATAGAGTGCATTGGATAGGTGACTATAGAAGATCAAAGTCATAAATCTGACTTGAACAGCTAAAACGTTGAGAGTTAATTTCCCTTCAGATGCATGCTGGACCTGATTTGGTTTTCAACATTTTCTGTATTTTTGTTTTTTTCATATTAGGCTGTATCACAGGTGTATATGTCACTGGATGTCACTCTCATGAAGTTGTGTTACACGGTTATGATTATTTATATATTTTCAACACTTACTAGTGAAGATGCCACATAGAAAATGCCTACAATTAATAGAAAAGACCAACAAAATTCCTTTGATCATCATTCCCCCATACTTTTATTACCTTAAACTTTTCCCTCTTTAAAAGCAAAACAAAACCACTTTTCTAACTTTGTAAAAATCTATCATCTTATTTCAGTTTTCTACCAGATGTACCAAAACATTTAAAAATGGTCCCATGTCGCAGATGCTTAGTGGTCAAATAATAGTGCCACACAAATTAAAGGGCAGAACTGGGATTCGAACTTTCTAAAATGATTAGTGTTTAGAATCTTTGCTATAATCTTTTTCTGTCATTGTTAAAACAAAAAGCCACTACTATAAAGTCAATTTTGACTCATAGTGCCCTATACAGGATTTACAAGGTTGTAGATCTTTATGGGAGCAGATAGCCTCATTTTTCTCTTGTGGAGAAGGTGTTGGATTTGAAATTTGAACCTTTTGGTTAACAGCCCAACGCTTATCCAACAGCACCATCAGGGCTCTTAATTGTTAAGGTTCCAGAGAATAAATTCTGACACATAGTGACTCTATCTGACAGAGCAGAAAAAACTCCAGAATTTAATAGGCTGTAATCTTTTCGGTGGCACAATGGATTAAGTGTTAGGCTGCTAACAACACAGTTCAAACCCACATACCACTCGTTGGGGAGAAAGACAAGTAGACAGCCTCATCTTTGTCCTACAGACTGGCTAATGGATTTGAACCACCAAACTTGCCGTTAGCAACCCAAACCTTAACCCAAGGTACAAGTCTACAAATAAAAATATCACATAGAAAATACCTACAATTTATTACTACTTATTTTGTATTTTGAAAATAAATAAAACCAACTTATTTTGTATTTTGAAAATAAATAAATAAAATCTACTCAACAGATTCCAACTCACAGAGACCTTATATAGAGTTTCAGAGACTGCAAATTCTTATAGGAGCATACACTCTCATTTTTCTCCTACAGAGTGAGATGGTGGGTTTGAAATGCTAATATTGTAATAAGAAGTCCGTTGTCTAAACCACAATACCACCAAAACTCTTGTGATTCCATAGGACAGTTTTCTGATAGAGTTTACAGAATGCCGCTTACTTCTCCTGTCAGTGTAGGTGACAGTGGAGCATGTTAACCAGTGCCCCCAAGACTTTCCTTTTCTTCTTGGCTGGCTTAGTCTCTAACTGAACCGTTCAGAAATCTATTAAAGTATTATTTAGTAATATCACTATTCAGTAGGACTTAGAACACCCATAAACAGATTTCATATTTTTAAAAAAAATCTGTAAAATGTGTTTATCACTGACAAATACTTGTTGCCTTTTAGAAGCTTTACATTATTACACCTATACATATGAAACAGATTTTAATAAAAGTATTGCTAATGCAGTGTAACCTAAACTCAAATTGAATTATCTAGAATTAGAATATGTGATTATTATCTAATGCTCAAAATAGGCAAGTCTATGCAACACTGCTTTGGCCAAAGAACAGCTATTTAAAAATCAAACCAAGTAACAGCAACAAAAACAATCATATAACTTTCTAATCAATATTTTCTAAATAAGAAAATTAAACCATCAGAGAAAGGTCATATAGAACGAAAATAGTAATGTGAATACATATTTGTTCAAACAGCACCTGTTAAAAGTTAGCATTAGAAAAAACATCTCTAGATAATAACACTGATCAGGTTTTCACTTACCTTCTAAAGTAGTAAAACCTACAAAACACTGGTGAGTGAGTTGGCTCTTCTCCTTTTTTACTCCGAAAAAGTCTACATTCTCGGCACTTCTGTAAATTAGGTCCTATCTCACAGCAGGAGTCATCCTGTAGAAAGGACTCCCCAGTTTGTTTTAGCTTCTTGACTTTACGCCAATCTTTTAATACTGAGCGAGGGATGCCAGCTGTAAAATTAGTAAGAAAGTATTAGCATTAAAATGTTTTGCAGAAAAGAAACAGAAAAATTTTCCTTCAAATTCTAGATCCTCGGTAAGTAGAAAGTCCTCAGCAGCATTTCTATTTACTCCCTATTCTGCGACCTGAATGAAGCAGACGCATATGTCAATATATTTGAAATGCACAGTTCAATATACTGTAAATTTTCCGTTGAGTGTAATTCTTTACAAATTAAATGTTCATGTTATAGTAGTAAGCATAATCTTTCATATATATACTATTAATCTATAAATGAAAATAGAAAGGATATGGTTTCTAAAACTACAATCTTTAACAAAGCAGGCTGCCAGATCTTTCCGCTAAGGAGATTCTATAGGGTTCAAATTGTTGAACTTTCTGTTAGTCAAGGGTATAGCTTAATATTAATAAATATGGCTTATGTAGGAGAAAATTTTCAAAATTCACAGAAAGAATTTAAAGACCATGTTAATAGTTAAAAAATAATCTGATTTTCCAAGGGAGATGTAGCTCATTAAGATAAACTGTAACTTTAATATTACCTATATTTGAGAGAACAAAGGCTAAGAAGAACTGAGCTATGTTTCTTCTAATACCTCTCCTTTATTGTTTCCTCCATTGCTTATCAATAATAGACATTTTTAAAAAGTTAATAGATTTAAAGTGAAAGAAAAACATAATAATGATGGTATTTTTTGAAGGCAGGATGTTATCTATCAGAAAAAAAAATTACTATATATTTTAATGTTTACAAGGGAAAAAAACCCCGTATCACATGCAATACCATTTCCCCATAATATAATTAACATGAAAAGTATCAACACTGCCTCATCTATAGAGAACTCCTAAAAAGAATGCATAAAATACACTTTGCCTGTGAGCAATACTGTATACATTATCATATATACTCATGTATAAGCCGAGTTTTTCCAGCACATTTTTAATGCAGTTTTTGTGGTAGAATTAGGTACCTCGGCTGATATTTGGGTTAGTTTATACTGGAATATATATATGGTAATTTAAATGTGTCATATTAGGGTAAATATTTAACTCAATTTACATTATAATTTGTTCTTTTACTACCCATATAAAGAAATCATCAGACATTTACATAGCTTGCTGTGATATTGTTAGAATGCACTGTTATTTACTATTCTTGTGTTTTCTATTACATCCCCTTTGTACAGCAGAGATCTCATTTACCTGAGATACTTTTTTTGCAGAAACTATGTAAGAAAAACTTGATCAACAGCTGAAAACACATTTCTAGAGTTCTAACTACTGATTATGTAAGCAGTATAATTACAGAAAGATCACACATGACAGAAATAGGAATTACAGTGTGTAAACTATAGGGTGGCCCATAACATCTCTATCAGTCTGCATGGACTCAATGACAATTGAGTTTGGTTTTGTTATAGTAAATCCAATGGTTTTATGTATCATGGAACTTGCCGATACATTTAAATTTGGTGGGTAATGTAGGTTTATAAGATTAGGTCAAAAGTTAGTTATGGAACATTATCAATTACAAAAGTTGGCAGACAAAAACTTTATAAAAGAACAAGTAAAATATCATTTTATCTGGGATTAGAAGCACTAAGAAACAGTACTTAAAAGTGTTTTTGAGAATACCTAACTATATGTATAAATGTATATATGTATCATATTATAATGCTTTTCATTCTGACCTAACCTAGCCTTTCTGATTGACCACCCCTATCAACATAAACCCCCCACCCCCCCCCAGGTTATATTTAGTCCATGAAGTAGACAATCCACTCAGGTTTAGAAGTTACTTGACTATGAATGACCAACTTTTGTATATGGTCTAGAAAAAACAAGTCAACTATGACCATTTTTAATAGAATACATCAAGTGTTGCTCATTTCTTTGAACTTGGACACAAATGGTACTTAAAACACTCTCTCTAAAGCTAAATGTTAGTTACCAAGTAGGGATTTGACAATTTGTGGGGAAGAAATGCTGATCTGCCCTTTCTCTTCAGAACTCATACTTTTAAGCATGTATTTCATTAAGAATTTTGTAAACATAATTTCACAAGAGTTCTACACGATAAAAGCCAGGCGTTTCCGATCTATGTTTTCTTAAGTTTAAATAAAATATTTGAATATTTATCACCAAAGGAAATGCTATATAAATAGAAGAGAAACTGGAGCCATGAGAGAAAAACCAATACCATATGTAATCCAGTGTTCAAATAAATGCACATTCCTTCTCATTGTCATTCTCTGCCTTCTGCCTATATTTTTCTTTCAGCCTCTGTCTAGTTGATATTGATTTCCTTTGTTCTGACACTTTCTAGGTTTACCATGAGTAACCAGTCACTACAATATTATTAAAATGGAGACACTTACCTTCTCATTACTCCTGCAGGATACTTGTGATATATAAAAATGAGATCAGTGAGTATGTACGTAACACTAAGACATGCAAATGAAAGGAAAAAGATATATACCGATGTTCAGTGAATCACACCATTATTTCTAGAAAATACAATGCCCTTTACCTAAACTAAAATAAAGTAATTTACATACCACTATTGTTGTTGCTCTGCAACTTCAATTTACTTTTTTCTTTTGCACTCCTGCTGAGAACCCCATTAGGTTTCGAATCTTCTTCTACTTCACCTTTTCTTTTCTGCAAATCATTTTGCTTCTTTTTATAAGTTGGCTTAGGTTGCCTTTTAGTCCTTTGCTCTGATTTGCTTTCACTTTCATCAGAGTCACCACTTTCAGAGCCGGATTCATAAGTTCTTTTGGCTTTTCTCCTACTGACTTTATCATCTCTTATATATTTATCAACTATGATCTTGCTATCTACACTATTTTGAATATCATTAGACGTAGAGGCTATTAAGTTGACAGAACATGGCTTAATTATTTCTGATACGGAGTGTCCTGGACTTTCCATTTTATTAGTGTTTTTATCTTCTTCTGAATGTCTAGTAAGCCAGGCCTTTTTCAGTTTAGTATGGCAGTTTGGTTGACTTGTCTGGGATGTTTGCCCATTTCCGACAGAGTTTGCTTTGTTTATTGTCCTACAGACCACAGTGCTTTCCAAGGGCACAGAGGCTGAAGAGGTCTGACTTTTCACAGCATTAGGCTCAGCCTCACTAACATTACTACTCTTATATTGAGCAGCAGCCAAGGCTGCCTTGTGCTTTTTTAAATGGATAAAATCAGTTGTGCCTGAGAACCCAGAGCTGGGCTGAACAGCACTTCCTGTTTTACTACCAGTTGGTGTAACTGAAGCTGTGGTGCTGACTTTGCATTCTTGTGCCCAAGACACTGACTGACTGACACTTTTTGAGGAAGTACATTCTAAGGATGTAGAGGCCAAAATGGTATTTGATAAAGAGTATATTACTTCTGAACCACCCCAACTGGAACTAGTGGTGGTAGAGACAGCAGATGTAAAAACATCTGTTTTCGGATGACACGTCGTATTTACAGCAGACATAACTGAACTGGGAACACTGCCGTGTGAGACAGACAGAAAAACTTTTTCAGATTTTATGTGAGCATTGTCTGAATTCATAAAAGGCAGAATGATTCTTCCGGTCTCCCCAGTTTCTGCTGGTTTCAGGCAATCTGTTTGATTTGCCTCAGTTGAAGATTTTTCACTAAGTCGATCTTTGGAAGCTAACTGCATTGAAGATATGCTTTCATATTTTGTACTAGAAGGTGGACGTACAATGACAGATGCCATAGCAGCCTGTGACTTTCCAATGCTTTTTTCCACGTGCCATTCAGCTTTCTCTTTGCTGAGGTTATTAGATTTCCACATTTCTGTCAAACTCTGTTCAGAACTCTTGAAATTTGCTTGAGAGTCTTTGGGCTCAGGTATTAGAGTTGGTGGCTTTTGGGACTCTTGAGCTTTCCCACCAGCATTTACTGGCATCACTGGAGTTAAAGTTGGAGGGGAAAGGTTACTATAGCTGCTTTCCTTTCTTTCCACACTGTGATGGATTGGTGGATGAAATACTGGTGCTCTATGTAAAGCAGGCATACTTCGGAGTGTATTTGTAGAAGAAACTGTCAAATGGGTAGGACTCCTACTGTCATTTCTGAAGGTTGTGACAGAGTGAGATGCAATTTGATGAGGAAGATGTTCTGGTATTTTGCCTACTAAACCTTCCGTTTCTGTTTGGTGTCTAATCAGAGGTGGAGGCTTTGAAAGAGATGATATATATGAAGTCAAAGTTTGAGGATTAGCTGCTGCTGCAAGGCTACTACTCTGCTTCTCTGTGTAAGAAACTTCTTTGGATGGGTATGATCTTGGTGGTTCATTGACTACACTATTAGACAGTGTAGTGAAATAGTTACTTTGGGGCAGACTCTGAGACACTGAGTGCTTCATTTTATAAAGATCTGATACTGAGCGCTCTAAATCTTTGTCTTGTTTGATGATGTGACTTTTAGGACTAGAACATGATGATGCCACTCTGGTATAATTATCTCTCTCACTCTCAAGCCCTTTGATTTTAGTTGTAAAGGGAGCAACATCAATACTTTCTTGAAGAATTCGACGGTGTTCCTCTTTATATTTGTTTAACCTTTCTCCAGTCTCCTGAGGTGGCCTTTGTAATTGATTCAATAATGGATCCACAAAATGCCTGTGCAAAAGACCATCCTTTCCAGTCTGTGGCCTATTTGAATCCAGGTCATTTTTTGCTGATGTGGATGCAACAGATCGTAAAGGTTCAATAAAAGCCTTTCTCTCCAAGTCTCTGTAAATAAAATAAAGTTGTTTTGTACCACTTTTTCTTACATAACACAAAGATAGTTTCTATACACAATACTTTATCATAAAAGTAAAATGTCTGCATTAATATTGAGTTACAGTGTTTAACATTGACTTAAAAGGTATATCAAAATAGAAAAAAAATACTTATCAATGTGCAGTTTTTTTCTTTTTAAACCATTTTATCACAATCCATACATCCATCGTGTCAAGCACATTTGTACATTTGTTGTCATTATTATTCTCAAAAATTTGCTTTCTACTTGAGCCCTTGGTAATCGGCTCCTCATTTTCCCCCTCCCCCCCCGCTGCCCTCTCCCCAATATGCAATTTTAAGATACTTATTAACTGAAAATTAAAATTGCCTACTTAGGAATTTATTAAGAATCATTAAAAACAAACTTTTTGTAAATTTTAAGTATTGGTGAACTTACTCTTTGTGATGATCTATTAAGGTTTTTGTCAGTGGTGGACTGGAATGTGCTGTAATTTTAAGAGGACGATGAGGTTCTGCACTAGAAGGTCTGACAGGAACGTGACTAAGTAACCCAATACCATCAGCTGAGGTCACAGGAGTGGGCTGATGTAACCAAGGACTGGGCGAATTCTAATTAAAAAAAAAGAAGAAGAAATAATAAAACAAAAAAGTAAAGGAAAACAAATGTTACTCAATAGCGATAGCTAAAATAGGATGGTAGTAGGCCTTTAATATCAACATATACAATGTACATAATTCATTTTAAAAGGGATTTTATGAGAAATGATACACACAAATAAGTAGCCAACACAGATATACATTTTTCCCATATGACCCAGAAAAATTCATCAGTGATAGGGTAGGATTAATAGTTGCTATTTATTTTCCTAAAACAAAAAAAAATTAATGAAATCAATACCTTTAACTTGTTACGAACAGGGTTGCACAGAGAACATAAATTCTAATACTAAAAGAATATACGTTGATAGAAGCAAAAAACAGGTTGACATTCCTAAAATACATTTCACTAGTAATAGAAATTATATTAAGGTTCACACGCCCTTTTTTTGAGGGGGGGGGCAATTCACTTGATTTCAGTCAGTTACTCACATCTTCAACGCTATCACAACTCTTTAAAGGACCATTAAGTTTACAGGTATAACAATGCTAATTTTCTATGTATCAATATTCCTTTCTCATAATGGAAAATATAATGTCAGAGACCTGTATACTGAATTGACACACAAAACTACTTAATTTTATTCTAGGAACTGTTTCTATTTCTATATTAGGATTCACTGACATTCTTAACAGACAAGTTTTATGACTTTGTCAACTGGATGGGATAATCAAATACACAGAAAACACAACTTTCTTGGTTTAGCAAAAGCATTAAATTTTACATCAGACAAAATAATAATTTATAAATTATCAAGGGTTCATGGGGACGGAGAGAGCAGGGAAGGAGGGAGAAAAATGAGGAGCTGATACCAAGGGCTCAAGTAGAAAGTAAATGTTTTGAGAATGATGAGGGAAACAAACGTACAAAAGTGCTTGACACAATGGATGTATGTGTGGATTGTGATAAGAGTTGTACAAGCCCCCAATAAAATGATTTAATTTAAAAAAATTTATATCTCAAAATGAAGTCACGAGCAAATATCATGTTGCTGTAAAATTTAGAATAAAAAAGAAACTAGTCATGAACCTTAAAATAGAGAAAAATATATGTTAGTTTACACAACTAAGAATCATTCAAATGTTCCAAAAGGTCCCAGAATGACAAGACCAAGAAATTTGAATTTGCAATTAAATATGGTTATAAGATTTTACTTCATAAAATGAATTCCTAATGCAGTAGCTTTTTTGTTTCTTCTTTACGTCTACACAGATCTAGATGATAAGAGACCTTGACTTTTGCTCAAAATGTTATTTTACTATCATGTTAGATAAAAGAATTGTTATTGTGTATTTATTTTAACAGGTTTCTAACCAGTGGGTGAAACATTTCATGTTCTTATAAGTAATGGTGACTAGAATCCTATGGTGTGAATTTGTGCTCACATGGCACATACTTTAAAGGGGTCCTTCTCCAACCCATTTTTAAAAACAAGCTTGTCAACAATTTATTCATTAAGATTCAAAATTATTTTCTAACTCATTGCTGTTCCTCTAAGCCTCACAGGTCGGAAGAGCTACAGCTATATTCATAACACATCAACACTGATGGGTAAAGTAAAAATGTGAGTGAATTGGGCACCTGTATCACTGGGACTGTTTTCAATTCTTGAAAAGAGGCTATTGTGGTAATTAGGACTCTGGATTGGTAACAGCTACCTAATGTTGACTCTGTTGTATGAGTCTGCTTGCAGAAAATTCAATGTCCCTATCAAGAATATGTGAATGGAAAGTTTGTTATCAATGGAGGTACAATTCTAAAATTCAGATGTTACCAAATTAAATGTGGAGGAGCTTATGCAGGAAAAATTGTGAAGTTTACTGGTAACTATTTTTAGAAAGCAGAAGCCCATATCAAAATAGAGCCAAAAGGATATTATTGATAAGAATTAGTCACCATAAATACCACATAAAATTGTTACCATGGCATCTTTTATCAACAACAAATGAGTGCTCTTTGCCAGCAAGTTCATCCATTCTAACTTGTTCATTACAACATGTCTATATATCATCACAGCTACTTACGATGGCTCCCTAAAACAAGTTGGGTATGAATGGACATCATTTTTACATCTACTATTACTACTATCACAAAATTACATGCAAACAAAATTATCTCTAAATATGAAACCTCATTAGCATTGTCTTCAAATTGTTAACCCATATCTTTTTAAAAAAAATCATTTTTACTGGGGGCCCATACAACTCTTATCACAATCCATACATCCATTTGCTGCCATCATCATTCTCAAAATATTTTCTTTCTGCTTGAGCCCTAGGTATCAGCTCATTACCCCCCCTCCTTCCTCCATGAACCCTTGATGATTTAAACATTATTTTTATTTTTTTTAATGTCTTACACTGTCTAATATCTCCCATCATCCACTTTTTTCTGTTGTCTGTCCCCCAAAGAGGAGGTTATATGTAGATCATTGTGATTGGTACCCTCTTTCTCCCACACCTTCCCCTTACCCTCTTGGTATCACTACTCTCATTATTGGTCCTGAGGGGTTTATCTGTCCTGGATTCCCTGTGTTTCCAGCTCTGATCTGTACCAGTATACATCCTCTGGTCTAGCTGGATCTGTAAGGTAGAATTGGGATCATGACAGTGGGGGGCGGGGGGGGCATAGGGGAGAGAGCATTAAAGAACTAGAGGAATGTCTTGTGTTTCATCGGTGCTATACTGCACCCTGACTGGCTCGTCTCTTCCCCAGGACCCTTCTGTAAGGGGATGTCCAGTGGCCTACAGATGCGCTTTGGGTCTCTACTCCACCTCATTCAAAATGATAGTATTTTTTGTTCTTTGATGCCTGATACCCATAACATATCTATCGTGGAATTAACACACCCGAGACTTTAGTCAAAACGAACAATGATAATAAAGTGGCTAAAAGCTTCTGACATGCACCTGAGAATCATCCTGGGCTGAACAAGGACAAGATTGTCCCTTGAGAGTTTAATAATGAAACTTATATCTGTCATTTTTATACCGATGCTGGTATTGTCTTTGAAAATCATTGTAATTGTTTTAAATGTGAAATGAATTTTGGTAGAGAAACTACATGATCCATGAAGGCAAAGCAATCCTCAATATCATCACATTTGTCAATAGCCACTTAAGCAGAATCTGAACCCCAATCCTGATCTTCGAGAATCTCTCCTACCTTAGTTTCCCTAGAGACAGCAAGAAAATTAGTCATACTTTGTAATGTACAATCAATTCAATGTAGTTAGTTGGGAAATTTAAGTTTGCAATTTAAGAATAATGGTATGATACACATAAAGATTCTTATAATTTATTTAAGTTCTGGACTAAAAGTTTCACTTTCCAGCATCTAGTACTTGAGCAAAATAACTATGGCTATATATTAATTAAAGATACTAATTTTTAGCTGTAGCATATATTAGGAACAATCTAAATGATTTAATTCAATTTTATACTTAACATTTTTTTTTGAGATCTCAGTTGTACTGTCCCAAAGTTACTAAGCATCGAATGTCACCATAATAGACTTGGAAACATCTAAACCTATTTTAAATGAAAAATTATCTAATATTTGTATGTACCCTAATAGACATGTATATTGATATCTGGCAAACAAATTAACTTACCCTTCTTAAGGAAGCTTCGGTGTTAACTGCATTTTCTGGGTGAACCCATTTAGAAGAAGGTAAACCAAGTCCTGAGTATGCATGTGTTCCATTTGGGTACTGCCAAATAATTGGATAAAGTCCAAGTTGATTATATGAAGCAGGGTGGGCTTGTCCAAGAAGATGAGGTGACTGGTGCTGTAATAATTGCTGCTGTTGCTGGTGTGCTAGTGCTAAGTGGCTTAAGCTGCTGGCATGAGCAGTCTCTAATCGTGGGTGGCCACCAAGTAAGGAAGCAGCAGGCACTCCGGGTAACACAGTTGGAAGTAAATGAGGATGATGAACAGAGTGGTGTGGGCCACTAGTCAGAGGGTGAGTGTTAATGGTAGGTAACTGAGTTTGACTGGAGGATCCAGCTAATATGTGGGGTGCAGGAGTTAAGGCTGGGTGATGGACACCTGGATTTAAACAAGTTCTATGGGATGAGGAATGAAGAGGAAAAGGATGCTGGTTTAAGAAAGGTGAAATGTGATTAGCTCCTGGTTCTGGCCCAATAAGTGCAGGATCTCGGTAAACTGTGAAATGCTCATTTTTATCAATGATAAGCGGACTCTTTGTAGATTCCAATGCACTGCCTCGAGTGGGAACTGGATGAAAGCTGCATCTTGATAATACATGTTCTATCTTACTTGCCAGTCTTCTTTCACCAGTAGCTTGGCTGTTGGTATAAGTAGTCTTAGACATTATTGAGTCAGGAGAATGGCTAATTTTGGATTTAACAACTTCAGGTGAAAGAGCAGATTTTGTCTTGGGAGTATCTACAGATGTATTAAGTTTAGATTTTATGGTCTCTGGGGGTGGACTTCGTTTATGCAGCTTATTATCATCTGTGACAGAAACGGCATTTAAAGATGTCATGTAAGAGGCATATTGGGTTTTCTCTTTTTCCAAATTCGGGTGATCTTTTCCTGAAGTAGCATTTATATTTGACTGGGTTAAGTCCACTTTAATAACATCACTGACCCAGCTCTGATCAGAATCTTGCTTTGTTTCCATGTATTTTGTATTTGAAATAGAATGCTTTGAGTCACCAACATTAGAATCTGTTTTCTGAAGTGTCTGAAGGCCAAAGGTACTTGACTTTTCCTGAGCCACCTTTTGTGAAGTAGTGTCATTTGTGATATCTATAACACACTTTGGTGTAGGCGGTCTGGATGCGTACTTCTCCTTTGGAACGAATTCCACTGTATGTGTCTTTTCCATATTGCATTCCGGAAGAAGTAAATCATTAGGATTATGATCAGAAAGCGTAGCCTGTTCTGATAAATGGGTAATCTTTTTTTCTTGAAGGTGAGCGTCAACTGACTTCAGCTTCTCTACTTCTTCATGTTTATCTTCCTGTGTTTGATCCCAGGGAGTCTGGCTATTTATTATTAGTGTCTTCTCCCCTGCCTTCTCATTATTCTGAGGTTTTCCTTCTTCTCCATTTATCTTTGAAGTGTTTTTATTTTTCAAATCATTGTCTGACTTTTGCTCTGAAGAATTATCTGTCATTCTCTTATTTGAATTTTCTGAATCACTGCTCTCAGAAAAATCTGAAGCATTGTCAGTCCGCAGTCTTTTCAAATTGGGTTTCTTCTCATCCTCCTCCGGCTTCCTTCTTTTATTCATCAAGTGTTTGTTTTTACTTTTAGCATTTTCTGTAAGGTTATTAAAAAAAGAAAAAGGAATAGTCATTGTCATATCAATACTAAATCAGCATATTTAAAATGTATTAGTTTATCTTTCCTTTTAAAAGGGTCCTACCTCCTCTCGTTATATAATCATTTTTTTCCTCCTTTATCTTCTCTTCATCTGGTATGCTGCTATCTGAGCCCTTTCTCTTATGTGGACGAATATTTCTTTGTTGCTGGTGTGTATTCTGTTTTGGTACTGCAGCTTGGGAGTTCATGGCTGGTCTGGGACTATTTGCTTGGGCACGTGTATAATGGCCCTAAAAATAACCAATTAACAACAATTGTTTATTGATCCTAAGTAGCTTAAAGGAAAATACAGTAATCCACCACTAATAACATACATACGTGAACAGTGTTGTTGTTTTGACTGGCGCGAGACCTACGTCGTGATGTAATGCCAATATTTTCTCCTTTTAACAAAGAGTGAACAACATCATCTAGAAAGGTCATTTGAACCATAGAAGGATCGACATTCTGTGGTTCTAATACCTAATTAATGACACAAAATAAAAAAAAATTAAGCCATATCAGTTAACCAATGACATTAAGTATAATTTACTTGGTAGAAATGTTTAGAAATCCGTTTGTGAACTCCAATTTGTAAGGTAGTGTCATATTTACAATAAATCGATTTTAAACATTAATAATTTTTAACTTGAAACCAATTTTTCAACTGCTTTCAATGAACAATTAATCTGAGGTGTAGCTTGCGCAACATGGATAAGAATGGATCTAACATACAGATAGATGCCACAGAAGTTGTATAAATTCTATGTTAAAAAATAAGCAATTTTCCTAGTGGTTTTCACATAAAAAGAAGAAAAGTTTAAGAAGAAAATTTTTGACAAAAATTGTGCAAATGAATAATAGGTGAAGGGAGATGTCAGACAGTATAAAATATGACAAAGTAACAATGGTTTATAAATTATCCAGGGTTCACGAGGGAGGGGGGAACAGGAAGTGAAGGGAAAGAAGTGAGGCGCTGATACCAGGGGCGCAAATAAAATGTTTTGAATGATGATGGCAGCAAGTGTACAAATGTGCTTGACACAATGGATATATGTATGGATTGTGATAAGCGTTGTATGAGTCCCCACCCCCAGTAAAATGATTTTTAAAAGGATACAAACCCTTAAGAAATATCTATTTTAAAGATTTAAACAGTTTTTAAAAACTTAATTGAAATGTAGTTATGTCATCTTTTTATTTTTAAAAAAATCAACTGCAATCAAACAATGTAAGATTTTTAAAATTTGGGACCAGTGAAGGCATTGAAATTGCTTTTAAAGTCATTCTCATTTATTCAGATACCCTACCCATTTCCCTCAGGTTTGAAAGAATAAAATATTTTTCATTTAATCAGTTAAAGGTTTCAAATTAAGTTTTTGGCTCTCTGTCCCTCACAACCTCAAAAAAGCCAAGCAATTTAAAGGGTTTCCGATTTACTTTAAAATCCCACATGCAAGTATCTTCAACACTCACTGTAACATTTGACAGGCATTATCAACTGTGAAACTTATGTGAAAAAAACTAACGCAAAAAAAAAAAAAGAACTAATGCATGCATCAAAATTTCTAGCTGACTTGAAGATATAAAATAAAAATGGTGATTGAACTATGGAATGACTTATCTGTATTAGCTCCTAATAAAATGGTTTTGAAAAAATTAAAATAAAAACAAATATAAGACCCCATCGGGAGGGGGGAGCAGGAAGGGAGGGGGAAAATGAGGACCTAATGCCGGGGGCTTAAGTGGAGAGGAAATGTTTTGAGAATGATGAGGGCAATGAATGTGCAAATGCTCTTTACACAGTTGATATGTGTATGGATTGTGATAAGAGTTGTATGAGCCCCTAATAAAATGATTAGGAAAAAAAAAGACCCCATCAATTAAATTTGATATATTATAGCTTTGGAAACCCTACTCCATGGAAATAGGTTGTTTTTTTGGGGGGGTGGGGGGTGCTGAAATCTTCATGTTACATTAAATGACTACTATATAAATTATCTAATACATTTAAACTAACCTAGAAATGAAAACCATTTAGTATCAAACAGTTGGTATATATTTTTGGCTAAAGGATGTCTGAATTATAAAAATCACTTCTCAAAAGTATTAGCTGGAACAATTTACCTGATCATTCATAACGATCATGGTGCGGGTGAAGAGATCATGATGAGTAATTATGCCAGTAAACCACTGGGTGGCAGAGTCTTGTCTATATACTTTTACTCTGTATCCATTTAAGGAATAAGGACCTTTAAAAAAAAAAAGTATCTTTAAATAGAGACCTTTTCATCTAAGAATGATCTTTTAGACGAAATAGGAACTATAAGATCAATTAGTATCTTACCCAAACATTTACTTTCAAAACAATGTTTTGGTAGACAAATATACTTTAAGAGCAGTGGTTCTCAACCTGTAGGTTGGGACACCTGGGGGTGGGGTCAAATAACCCTTTCCCAGGGGTCGCCCGATACATAACATTAGCAAAATTACATCCTAATTCAGTGGAAATAAAAGGACTTTAAGGGAGAAGGATAAAGGTAATGTTTCTAGGATTATGAATTAATAAATTGACAACAAAGTATATAAAGTTACAGAGGTCTACAGAGTAGTATGTTCAAGAGCCATCTGTTCAGTTGACATTGGAATGTAAGGCCGAAAGGCAGTTTGACATTTGATGTCCCTGCCATTGCCAAAACTTTACTACGAGCAGCTACAGATTTTGGTTCTTTTTTGACACCTGAGAAAGACACGCCAAGTCTGAAAACATGCAGAGATTTATAAATACAGCAATGAAAAAATGTTTCCAAAAAGCAATGTAGTGGTATGTTTCTTGGATTAAGCTTTCTAAATAGTTAGATACATAGACATATAGATAGGCTTTAAAAAACAATGAAGAAATGATAAAGGTTAGATTTCTGTAGTTTTTCAGATGTTTACTTAAATAAAAATCATTCCAGAGGAAGATTATGCAGATGAAAATATTTAATTAGCAGGTATGAAAATAAATACTTGAAAATTTAATAGCAACAATTTTGAGGGGTATGGAAGGGGGTGAAAACTTCTATGCTTCAACAATAGCCTTATACATTTACAATTTACAAAGTACTTCCAAATCTCCAAGTGCTTAGTAAAAGAAATACTTCCCAACTCCAAGTTAGGTGCTGTTATCCCTTTAAATTCTATGAAAATAGGTTAGCAGGGTAAGTAAAATTTTTAAGAAGAAGCTGAGAGTGAATTTATATTTCTAAGTCCTATATTAATGTTCTTTCTTTTAATAGCCATACAGGTTCTGCATAACATGTGATGGATCAATACTTAATTGCGAGCTTAAAAAACAAATACACCAATATCAGCCTCAAATAAATCAAGTAACACATCTGTATGGAAGAACTCCAAAAATAAAAAACAACAACAAACAAACCACAATAATTTATAAATTATCAAGAGTTCGCGAGGGAGGGAAGGTGGGGGAGAGGGAGGGAAATGAGCTGATACCAAGGGCTCAAGTAGAAAGAAAATGTTTTGAAAATGATGGCAACATATGTACAAATGTGCTTGACCCAATAGATGGATGGATTGTGATAAGAGCTGTACAAGTCCCCAATAAAATGATTTTTTTTAAAAAGAAAGTACTCCATAGGTTCTGTACTGTACATTAAATACATTCATTTGGGCAAAATAAGATGTTGGTTAGCTGAGGTTCAAGGAAGTTGACAAATAAGCACTACTTATTAGCCAGCCATGATCCTTTATACAAGTTCCAGTCTTTTCTAGCTCTGGAAGAGTAGGACTCCATGCCACCCCCACCCTGAATAATAAAGAAAATGCTTATAGAGTAATTCCAGTTGTGATCAATTTTCATTAACACAGCATGTGGCTTATTTTCACAACTCAGCACAATTTGGAGATTTCCTCAGACAATTCTGTACAGGATGGTCAGAAATTAAACTGCTTTCATCTTTCACCTCAAGTTACAAGGAGGCTTCAAAAAGTAGAAAAATTCAATTACCTTTTAATTCCATTTTCCCAACTTTTTGAAGCTTTCCTTACATACGAGGAGGAAATGAACTTGGTTAAAATAGTGTTAGCTTTGTTTCTTCAACAAACAAAATGAAGGACAAGGGGAAAAGATGGAAAGAAGGCAAACCAATCACATGAAGTAAAGCTCGGTTAGAGGTCCAGATTGAAAAATGATGAATACATAACGCCTGTTGAAAGCATCTATGATTTTGTGAAAGAATTTAAAATTTGAACCTGAAAGCCTAGTATTTGTGATTAAGAAATTATTAACTATTTAGCACAGTGGTATATTTTAAAAACCAATAGAATGAGGTGATGCCAAATGAGGGGTGTGGTTGGACGGGGCAGGATTAGCCAATGTTTGATAGTTGTTAGGTTTGGATGATGAACAGGAATCCATGGAAGTATTCTATTTTGTAAGTGTTAGGAATAATTTGCCCATGAAGAATTTTCTAAGTAGGTGATCTACTTCTGCAAATACCCATGTAAAACAAAACAGCTACTATTACTAGATACTTCTATGTTAACTTAAACATGATATGGAAATTGAGGTTGGGATAAGTGTAGAAATTTAATAATTTTTAATGAAAGGAAACCATCAACAGAATATTAACATTTTATGCAATTAATCTATGGTTTTATGTTTCCACACATAGAGGAAACACTAAGAACACACAAACCTCATTGGTTTGAAGGTCACACGTTGTAGACAAACCAGTAACTAACTTTGAAAAAGGAAACACAACTAAGACTAGTATTGTGTCAACACAGTTGAGGAAGGTACATTGAAAGAAGTCACACTTTTATCAGATACCAACATAAATTTTCAAAGTATTGTGGCTATGGACAATGCTCTACTATAAACAATGCTTTTTACTCTAAAAAGGACTTGCCAAAATATTCTGAAATATGGAAAATTTTCCAATCAACAAAACTCCTATGAAACTACAATTTCATGTCAGGCATTTGACTCAAATCACTTAATAAATTGGTTAAATTACCTTTCACCTAAAATTATTGTAATTGTATTATTTCCCCTTAATTGCATATAACTCACAATATTAGATTTGCCCTTCTATTTTTATTGTACATTACTGAACAAGCAAAGACAAACAGTAAGTTACCTAGTTCCCATTAACAATGCATAACTTCAAAATCGTTACCTTGCATAAAAATCTCCTGAACCTTTTGTTCCTTTACCCAGACTTTCACTTCCTCATGAAGTTGCGGGTTGTCCCTGAGAACTGGGTTTAGGCTGTCTATGTCGTCCTAGAATTACAGATTAAAAGAAAGGTCCATGTTACGCTCTCCTAATATTAAGGTTACCAACTTTCCCTCATGTATGTTTAATAAATTGAAGAAAACACCTGGTTCTAAATGTATGCAAAAACAAACTCTTAAGTCATGGTCCATTAGCAACTGCCTAACAACAGAGCATAAGAATTATCTCCGATACACTGATTGATACTTGTCAAGAATGTTCTGCTAATAGTTGAGATTTACTAAGGACGTTTTCCTAATTTCTAAAGTATGCCCTGAGAAGCAACATATAAACCAAATATCATCAGGTCTTTTAAGCAGGTGGTAAAAAATGAGCACCTAAGTTGAGTATTTGCGATAGCAAATATATACAGATATGTTATTCCACGCTAATGCCTAACCTAGTAAGTCTTTACCTGCTGTCTTGACTTAAATGTCACCAAAGTCAGTTCTATTTCACCTCATCTGACAAGTAACTTTACTGTTAACACGTTTTATTATTTTTTTCCAAGCCAGTGTCAGAGCATCCAGGCAACTAAATTACATTATTGGCAGGATTATTATCTTGATAACAGGGTGGATGTAGACACAGAAACAACAGATTCTCTCTTCTTGGAGATGTGAATCATACAGTCACATGGTTTCTCACAATCTGTTGCTCTCCTGTTGCACTCCTTTGACATTGTGTGTTCTTGTTCTCAATGTACCTCTGCTGCTTCTGCATTTGAGATCAGCAGCAGGAGCCTTAAAGTAGTAGAAGAGAACAAGGCAGCACTGTCAATCGACAACTCTGGCCCTTTTCAATGTGGATGAACACCATCATGGAAACCAGTGAGTAGAAAGAGGTAAGAGAATTATATTTGGTAGGTAAAATTAATTTGAAAAAGCAAAAAAGTGTCTGAAAAGTTCAGGAACCTTTAATGAAGCATAGCTGTACCCCTGTCTCTTCTGCTCCACAGTCTCTATGTAAAGGCCTGCCTTCGCATTTCACCACTGCTATAAGGCACAACTCTATTTTGGAATATTGTGGTAAATGTTCTGGTGTATCTTTTATACTCATTAAAAAACAACACGTAGAAGCCTTTAAAGTTACTATGTCCCTTGATAACTTTATGAAAACGTTATTTTACAACAGGTCAAAATGTGTTGTACAAAACACTTACCTGAAAACCCCCATTCACTTTTGATACACCCAAACTCAAACCCTGTGTCAAGGAGATTCTGACTCATAATGAGCCTATAGGATGGGGTAGAGTGAGTTTCCAAGACTGTAACTCTTTATGGGAATAGAAAACTCCATCTTTCAGATTGGCTGGTGCTTTCAAAATATTGATCTTTTTTGGGTTAGCATCCCAATGTGAAACCACTATGTCACCAGGATACAAAGTTTAATCTTATCATTTTACAAATAAAAAAGATCTTGAATACCTGTATCAGGCTCTAACCCTCCTGATACACACCAGGTGACAAAACATTCAACCCACTGCCATCAAGTCATATCTGAATCAAAGAAATCCCATAGGACAGAGTAGAACTGCCCCTTTGGTTTTCCAAGATTTAACTCTTTACGGGAGCACACAGCCTCATTTTTATTCTCTAGTACCTTCCTAATGCTGCGACCGTTTAATACAGTTCCTCGTGTTGTGGTGACGCCCCCAACCATAAAATAATTTGTTGAAATTTCGTAACGGTAATTTTGCTACTGCTATGAATAGGGTGACCCCTGTGAAAGGGTCATTTGACCCCCAAA